CTCTGCGGACAGGCATGCATTCTTACAGTGCGGAGAGTCCACGGCGGGGAAGAGAGGAAGACCCAGGAAGAGGACGAGGAGGAGGAGCTGCGAATCAGAGTCCCCGTCCTCCGCGAGGAAGGAGGCCATGTGCTTCCGCCATCCTCCCTCCGACTCCCCCCTGGGACCACACATCCTTCGTCGACTCTGACAATCGTGGGGTGCCCAAAAGGCTCCGCGGGCCCATCGGGAGATGACGCGTTGCGATCGTGCGGCACCCGTCGACGGGCCAGCCTATCTCGTGCGCGTGCTGTAGAACTCACGGGGGGGGACAAGGAGAAAAAGGAAAACAGAGGGAAACGACGACGACGACGACGACGACGACGACGACGACGACGACGACGACGACGACGGAACACGCCCCCTTCTCGTCGCCCTCCCTCCCGTCCCCTCCTCCCCCCTCCCCTCCTCGAGGACGAGGAACGGGGCACCCCCGCGGCGCACTCAGCCGGCGGGGCGCCCAGGTGGGAAGGCAGAGGGGGCGGGCCTTCCCGGCAATCGTGCCGCCTTTTTGGCAGCTCTTTGCGCCCTCCGAAAACGCAAGGGGCGTCTCGGGCCAGAGGGATGCAGCCCCGCCGCCTTCTGCGAAGGCCTGCCCCCCCCCTGGCCCTGGCCCCAACCCCCTTTCGCCCGAGAGCCTTTTATTTTCGCTCGTCATCCTCTCCCTGGTCCCGGCGCTGGACACACCGTCCCCCTTTGGTCCTGGCCCCAGCCCACCTTGCCCCGCTGGCCCTGGCCCTGGACCCACCCTCCTCCCTTGGTCTTGGCTCCAGCCCGCTTCGCCCCGCTGGCCCCGGCCCTGGACCCAGCCTCAGGTGTCCCAAAAAAACTCGAGCAGGTCCGAATCGACAACCAATGGGTCAGAAACCAGGGCGCCCTGGCACAAATTGCCCCTCCTCTTACTCCTCCTCCTCCTCCTCCTTCTCCGCCTCCTCTTCCTCCTCCAAATGCCACTTGTAATTATCCTCGCGCGGAAGCCACCGCTGATGAACGACTTGGGCGGGGATGAAGGCCCCTGGTGGCAATGATGACGACGACGATGAAGATGATGATCGTGTTGTTGTTGTTGCTGAAAACGCTGGTGATGATGAAGGTAACGATGACGATGCCAATGATACTGATAAAGCTGATGCTGCGTACTATGCTGCTGCTGATGGTGACGGTAATGACGGGGATGATGGCGATGCTGATGATCATGCGGAAACGATGATGATGGTGATGATGATGGATGGTACTGGTAAGTGTGACGATGATGTCGTTGGTGAAAACAATGATCAAATATCCCCAGGAAAGATCCGTCCAGACTACAGCTCGAGATGCGCGCGGCGCGCGGCACAGGTGGCAGTATGCAGCACGGCTGGCGGACGCCCGCCCCTCAGGACGTGATCCTCTATGGCGTGGAAATCCTTGTGGGCAGCTGCCGCCCGGGGGAGGCCGATAGGCGGTTCTAGACCCAGCCGGTCGCGCGTCGAAGGCGGGTTCGAGCCAGGCCAGTTTTCAAATAGGTCCCAAGCCCTGTCGCATTCGAAGTCGCGCTTCTGGTCCTCATCGGGAACGCTACAGATCTGCCAGGCGTGTCGAGTAAGTTCGTGCATGCGGCGAGTCGCGAACCGCCCGTGCGCCCACGTTCGTAGAACCAGCGTGCGAAGAAGACGGCGACGAGAGCGAAGGCATGAGACAGTAGCAGCAGCGTCGACCAGGGGCAAAGTGTCGTCAGCTGCAAAACTCTGCCATCGCTGCAGTCACAGCGAGGGCCAATCTGCTCCCCACCGCTTCTTTAGGACCGCGGCCTGCGCCGCGCTCTGCAAGCGCTGGCGCGGCAAGCAGCCGCGAAACCACGCGCGACGAACTCCAGCAAAATGGCCGCGACGGTGCTACAATGAACAAGTGGCCGCCGCACGCTCAAGGTTCAGGGCGAGCAGCGGAGTTTTCCACCAGGCCTGCGCGATGGGGGCCAGTCGAGACGGTGACCCTGGAGATCCCCCGCCAAACTCCGCGCAGCGGCAATGATGTCGGTCCGCGCGGAGCAAGCGCGAAGAGCAAGTCGACTCAGGATGAAGGGGTCCGCGACCTTCGATCGGCGCGACACACGGGAAGCCCAAGAAGTCAATATGTTAACCGGACCACCCCGGAGTCATGGATACACGTGAGAGACGAAATAGCTTCGCAACTACGGCACCCTGGAGGTTCACCAACGAAGATGGCGGGTCAACGAACTGGAGCTCGTAGCTCAAGACGGTCTGGATGCGAGCGTAGCGCTCCACGATGTTTTGCGCCATCGCCTCGTGGGCCTCGCCGAATTGAAACGAGCGGTGCTTGAACTTGCTGGCGGGTTAAATCCGTTCTCTGGCCCCTGCGTTTTGCCCGAGCGACATCTCCAGATTCTCGACTAAAGCCTGGATCCGCAGAGAAGCCCACTCTGGGAAATTGAAACTCATCCAGTCCTGGATCAGATCAACCGACGCAAGCGTGAATCGCGCAAGCGTGGGAAACATGGTGCGACATAGCTCGCTTCCCCAACTTGTCGGCCAAGCCGGTCGCGCGCTTGACGCGGGGGCGCAGATCGTAGATGCGGGCCAGGGCCCTGATGGCTCACGCAGAAATTCCGACAGCATCGGCGCACGCCTGGAACGCTGCGCGAAGCCCGAATACAGAAGGGCAGGTCCCGAGGACTAAGAAATTCGAGCTAAGCGGATCCCATTGCACTGCCCCAGAGTCGACGATGCAGCTTGAGGCCCAGCACCCACCAAGAGGGATAACAGCAACTGCACGGTCGCACACGAAATAGAACAGGCCAATCACGAAGTGGGGCCAGTCCTGGGGCACGAGCACGTTGGGCAGCCAGCTGTGCGCCATGGAAATAAAAGGCGCGCCGCAGTCCATAGCGAGGCTGACGGGGGGGGGCTGCCTGTCGGACGGTAGAGCGCCTGCGCCGCGCGCGCGTCCAGCGCAACGACGACGTCCGCAAGCTGCCCGCGCATTGCGAGACCGCGCCGCTCAGGCGGGCCCTGGGCGGCGAGAAAACGGCGCATCGGTGGCGCCGTGCCGCCGACGAACGCATCGGCATCTGCGCTGTGAACGCTCAGGGTGCGGAGGTTGTCGCGGGAGCGGATGACCTCAACGGCGCCGGTCTCATTGCCCATTCGGCGGCGAGCGAGGTAACAGCCGCGGCGCGGAACGGCAGCGTGTCCTGGCGGCGCAACTCGGCGACCTCAGCAATCGATGCGATGACAATGTGGTCCAAGAGAGCCGCGTAGGGAATGCCATCAGGGCCTGGGGCGCGGCGGGAGCGAGACCTCAAATGCCCATGGAAGTTGGACGCGTCACGGGCGCAAAGAACTCACGCCCCAGCGCCGGCCGCTGGAGCTCGCGCTGGGCATCCTCGCAGATACCCTCCGCCATGCGCTGCTTGGCCCAGTGCGCACGAAACGGCCCCTCCCGATTGGGCGCGCCGCGCTCGACGCGCGAGGGGCCGACCTCCCCGACCACTTGCAGCCCAGACAGAACGACAAATTTCGCAAAAGGAACCCAACATTTACGATGTCGTAGGTTCCGGCTCACGCGGGACTTGAATTGCTTCGTCGACGTCCTCGCGATTGCGTCTTCCGTCTGGAACTGCCTGCTTCCTGGCTTCAGCGACGTGGCCGCCGCGAACATGGCAATGCCGCGCAGTCGAGCAGAGCCCGGGCGGATCCCCATGCGCTGGAGAGCTTCTGGTAGCCGACATCATCAGCGCGGATCAGTTATGCGCCTTCCCCGCTGCATCAGCGAGTTGCGGGCCCTGGCGGGGGCGACCTTGAAGACCGATTTGGCGGCGGGGCTCTTCTCGACCCCGCAGACATTTTTGATGTTGGCGCGCTGCGCCCACTTCTCGGCAGGGGCATGGAACGCTGGGCCCCTGGCCGCATCGCGCAGGATACGTGGCAAGCGAATCGGAATCGGAGCCGGAGATCGCGCTTCAATCTTGCGGGGCGCGACGAGAGATGTCCTGCCAAGCGCAGCCCATTGGGGCCGCCAGGACAATGAGCTCGACGCGAAAATTGACCGTGTGAGAACTGGGCACCGCCAGGAAGGTGAGGAGTTGCGGCAGCGCGTGGCTTGCCTGGAACGAAATTCAACTAAATGGCCCACCCCTCGGGAGATGGCCCGCTCGATTGAAGATATGCGGCGCGGGAAGTGGGGTCGCGTGAGCCCCGGGCGCTCGAGGTAGCAGCGGCCCGCGCCTGGGGGCCCGAGATTTCAGTCCATGGGCCAGAAGGCTCCGCGATGTTCTGGGCACCCACTCCAAGTCGGCCTCCATCCTGCCGCGGGCAATGGTGGACCGAGCGTCCGCGATGCCGATGTAGTGGACGTCGACAAAGCGCATCCCCACGCCGTAGCGCTGGACGGTCGACGCCAACGCGCGACCGGGCGCGAGAAGCGCGTGCACTCGCGCAGCTGACCCAGACCGCGCCTTGGATCAGGCTGCGAGCACGCCGCCAGATATTTTATTGGAGGTCGAGGAGCTTTCAAAATCAAGGCGACGAGCCAGCGGGCGGGGAAAGTCGCGAACATACTGCTGCTCACCGTGCACTCCTCACAGAAATGGGACTTGCGCGTTCTTCAGCAGGCGGGCGAGGCGATCGAGATGCTCCTTGGCATTTTTTCGGGGGGGGGGCATCTGCAAGCGTCTGCGCATTCCAAGTCGCGCGCTGGAGTCTTGGCCGCGCGCCACCAGGCGGGCGCCCCGCAGCCCAGAGAGGGCCGAAGGCAATGAGTGGTCCAATCGGCCGAGGCAGCCGAATCAGCGCCAGAGCTGGAGGCAGACTGCAACGCGCGGCGCGCCGCGAAAGCTGCGCCCATGATCTCCTTGGGGACTGGGGCGCGGGACTGCTCCGCATCGTTGACCCAGATGCTCGCGCGGGTGGCGGGGCCACCCCGGCGGCCCCGCGCGATCCACGAAGTTTCTTGGAAAAACGAGC